TGGATTTCACCCCTAGCATTAAGCAGAAATTCTTCCAGCTAGAATTCTGAGGGGCTTTAGCCAAAAAAGTAAACCACTAACAGGAGCTTTCAGTTAAACATGAGTGGAGAATGAAGGCTCTGTCAGCCATTACCTGTATATGAAGAAGAAAGAGGAAGTGGCTGGGAAGAGCTAAAGTCTGTGGGACCTGCAAGGGATTAGGGGACTGGTAGTCTTTCTGCACATTAACTTCTATAAATGGTGCCTTTCAAAAACTACTGGTACTCTAATCCCAAAAATTTAGCCCTTGAAACGACTTCCTCTTTCTTCCTCACATGCAGATAATGGCTGCTAGATTTTCTGCTTGTTTTAATAGAAAATTCCTGTGAAGAATTTAATTTCTTGGACAGAGCCACTGGAATTCTGGCTAGGGGGATTTCCTGCTCAATAATGGAGGATCAAGTCAAAGAAATGTAAAAGTCTCATGTCTAGTTTTGATTCCTTGCTTTTTAAAAAAGAATTACACATGCATGCAAAAGATCTCATGTAAGTTGCTGTGGCTAACTGATAAGGTACTAGCAAGTGCTGGGCCCTCCATCAGGGGTGCCTGACTGGAATACTTTGAGCATTTTATTAGTTAGCCATGACAATGTCTGTAATTCTTCTTGCATGTGCATACAGTCCCAACAAGATTTTGGCTGCTGTTTCATTGTAATTGTCAATACAGCCTATACTTAAATGAAGATAATTACCGTATTTTTTCCCCATAAGACGCACCTGACCTTAAGACGCACCTAATTTTTAGAGGAGGAACACAGGGAAAATATATTCTGAACCAAATAGTGTAATATAATATTTAATAAACTATAACAGAATAACATTTGAACCATGTAAACAGCAATCAACAGTGGCATTAATATAGACCATTATCAGCCAGTGATAAGACCTATACCACACTACCTATATTTTACATTTCCTTTCATCCACCTCCTCCCCATGCTTATAGAAATGTCTCAATGACAGATGAGATAGTTGTGCAACTTTGCCCAGCTACTGCTCAAGTTAGAAATGGTTTGTCTGATTTGGCACTGCATTGAGAGGTCCTTTTCAGTTGTGTGGAGGATAAATAGTGGAATTAAACTATTTAACAGCTGGTTTTCCTTATTTACTTTAGGTTATGCAAAAGAACAGCAACACAAAGCTTAACCTGATCTAATTCAACAGCAGTAGCACATGCTCAGCATAAGACCAAATCTCCATTTTCTGACATAATTGAACATTTATAGCATGCAAGGCACAACAGGTTAGGCCACACAAAGCCATGAACAATGTTCTTGATGAGCCAAAAAAACTGAATACAAACTATAGTAGCTGAAATCAGGAAGCAGGTACTGTAATCCAGTTAGAAGTCAC